AATAGACTAAGCTAATGAGAAAAGTTTAAAATTCCTTGTTCGGTCTTTTTGAACAGTAATTTCGGTCTCGCTTCCTCTTCTCTTTTCTTTTTCTCCATGTGATTGGTTGATCTTTGAGCTCCACCTCTGCAAAATTTCGTCAGGTCTCTCGATTTCCGTTTCCTAGCTCACATCTCTTGTCAAATATTTTTTTTTTTCACTGCGTTGCCACTTCTTCGCGTACACTTCGTACATAGTTTTCATTCTCGCTTAACATCACTTTAAAACAATGCAGGTGATCTGTTATTTTATATTCGTTTTGAAAACATCTCAACAATCCAGAACTTCTCTAGAGTTGAGTAACCAAACGTAATGCATCAGAATCGTATTTTGCTCAGTACTGACTGTTAGCTATTCAGTGGGCATTTGAAACATTGCATTGCTTATGTCTTATAAAATTCCTTTGCAAATGTTTCCTTGTTTTCCTCTACCAGGAAAGCAATTATACTCGGAGACTTTTATTTCACTCGTTTCTCATTTTTAAGATGTGAGATATATCCATTTTGACAATTACTTAATTATTGATATTGAATTTAATATTAATCAATATTAATCAATGATATTGAATTCAATTACCTAATTATTGATATTAATCAATGAGAGATATCGTTTGATCCTTATATTTGCAGGGGTACGAGTCGGAGAAACTCGACTGTAAAGAACGTACGTTACTTTACGTAGGAACTGCGTCTTTTAGGCGCGTCGCCTGTTTATTCGCGCATTTATTTTAAATAGCTGCTATCAGTGCCTTGTGGTGGTTGTTGTTCTGCTCTCCTCTTCTAATAATATCAGTGGTCGAATTCTTGCTTGAAAGAAAAATTGAATTCGTATTATTATTTTTCTGAGAAAGTGTGCAATGCGAGAAACATTAGAAGCGTTCCAAAATGAGATGTTCTGGACGATCATCGTTGGCTTTTTCATTGCTTCAATTCTTGCATTTGCTATTGGTGCCAATGATACAGCAAATTCTTTCGGGACGAGTGTTGGAAGCAAGGTATGTTGGACATTTATAAATGGATTAGTGATTCAGTGGTTTGATTTTAGTGTCCAAAAATAAAAAGATAAATAAATCTATACAAAAAGCGAAAGGTAGATAATTCAGGAGAAGAAACATTGTATCCAGAATGGCTTGAAATTTCAGGTGCTCACTCTTCAGCAAGCTTACTTATTGGCCTCCATTTTCGAAACCCTTGGAGCAGCTTTGTTGGGATACCAAGTTACTGATACTATGCGAAAAGGCGTCATCGATTTGGCTGTTTACAATGGTAGTGAAAACGAACTTATGCTTGGCCAAATTTCCGTACTGTCAGGTAGAGATTTTATAGACTGTCGAGTTTTTGAAATTTGTAAATCCGACTTTTTGGCTCATTTATTTACCGCAAAGCTATGTCTAGACGTTGTTTAGTAACTTCGAAATATAATTTTGAAACACAATACTTTTAATAAATCTTTTTTGCGTAGACATACTTTTAAAATTCAAATTTACTCTTCCTTCCAAGCAATTCAAATTTGAAATTTGAGTTAAAGCACCAAAGGAATTTTTCAGGATGTGGTGCGTGGTTGCTTATAGCAACATTTTTGAAGCTACCAGTGTCAACGACCCATAGTATTGTCGGAGCGACTCTTGGTTATTCTTTGTTAGCCCGTGGTACGCAGGGAATACGATGGTGGCCAGTCATCCGCATATGTGAGTTACGCCACATCTGTGCCAAAGTAATTTCCAGTCTTTGGTTTTTTTCTTCATTATCCTCACAGTTGGTAACGTTTTTGCTTCGAAAATAAACTGGATTTAAAGTAGATTTTCATATCTCGAATTTATGAATACCGAACGAAATCGCATTGTGACCTATGTCTCGCTTACAAAATTGCAGTTGTAACATGTGTAACTAATTTGGAAAAATGTCTTTAAAATCCAAATTCATTAGTTTTAGGTTTGTTTGTGAACGATGAACATTTACAGAGTTATCTATTTCAGTTATCTCATGGTTTCTGTCACCGTTGCTTTCGGGCATCGTTTCAATTCTTTTTTATTCTTTCATTGACCATGCTGTGTTGCGACGTCGTCGTCCTCTGCACTGTGGTCTAATTCTTCTACCTGTTTTGTATTTCATCTGCGTAGCTGTCAACGTTTTTGCCGTTATGTACAATGGTTCTGAATGTATGTTTTTAGGAAAGCATTTGATCACTAATAGCTTCAAAATTTTGTTTGTCATAACTTCTGCTCTTTGCTGCTTTTAAATTTTATTACAAATCTATAATACTTCTTTAATGCATTACAAACACTGACACAAGAATTCTTGACACGAGTAGAGTTTTGTTAGTTAAAAGATTTTTCTCTCTCAAGGAACTTAAGCATATTGCATATTTCTTAAAAAAGTGAAACATCTGTAATAAAGTCGTTGTTTGCAGATATTGTATTGGATTGAAATTTAAGGCTTAGTGATAACTTTTGCAGTTTTGGGCTTCGACGAGATACCGGCGTGGGTTGTTCTGGTTATAACATTTAGTGTAGCAGCAGTTGTTGCATTGCTTGTGCATTTTATTATGGCGCCGCAGCTGAAAAAGCGCATTTTAGGTAAGGCGTTTTTAATGTAAAACATAGATCGATGTAATAGAATTAATTTTTGGATTTCATTATTTTTCCAACCATAGCATCTTGTTTCTCAAAAGTTGATGCTGCCATCTTTGGCATGCAAAAAAAAGATTTTTTTTTTGGAACATTTTTTCCATGGGTATTTTCCAGTTGTAAAATTAGTCATTGAATAAAGAGAATGTTTTGAATTCTTAGAGTTTTTATCAGATAATTCTTCGCTATTTTTACCCTGTTATTTTAGTCTCCAGCATTTGTAAATTTTTTTACATTAGTGTTACTTAGACAATGCACTAGTTAGTTTAATTCACATTCTGTTGTCTTGAAAATGCCAAATTTTGGAATGTGTGAATAATCATTCCAAAGTTGTTAAGTTAACAAGAATGAATTTTAATTTTAAAGTGTATTGGCGTGAACCGTAAGCTAGATTTCATAAGAGCGTTTCTCTTTATGGCGATATTAAAATTATGCAACTAGTAAAATTCTTATAAAAGAATTGAAAGCACTTCCGCAAGTATAGTGTTGCTTGGACGAAACATCACTGAAGGGATCAAGTGAAATGATTTGAATGTTTCCTTCTAGTTCGTTTCCTAACCCTGTTTTGAAATTTGGCAAAACACCAGTCAACTGTTAACCATACTTTTGTTAAAACAGTGTTTCAAAATATAGTGAATATTCATTTCAGAGAATATATAAAATATATTTTTTAAAACTAGATTCAGAATTTTGTATGAGAGATTCTGCATGTTTGTTTGAAGCAAAAGTGAAGTAGGCAGATTGAGTTTCTGGCATAATAATCCGAAGTAAGAAATAGTAACTGGTAAAAATCTTGTTATTCTCATATTAATGCTTTTCTCTGCTGTAATACTCGTTATCAGCTAACATGTAAGTGCATTTAGTCAAGTATTTGCAGGCCAAGATTTTTAACATTTTATATGGGAATTAAAGTGATATAGAGATTTCGTATAAGGACCCCTACGTTTGAAATAGGTGTTAAAATTTTCAAAAACGGTAATGGACGCTGAATTCGAAGCATAGATTTTGTTCTTGCGCTGATTGATTTTTATTTTTTTAAAATATTTTTTGCGATTTCTTGAAGCATTTTGTTGTTAACAGAAGCTGCAGAAAGCTTACTAAACCGGCTCTGCTTGATTCGCTATTTCTGGGTTATCACTTCGGTTTCAATTTCTGTTTAGATGGAACCTAATAAGCTTTAATGCAGGCTCTCTCTATAGTGGCTATAAAAAAATGGGCGATTCAGTCCAAGAACTAAGAATGAAAGAGAAGCACATAATGACGTCGAAAAACTAAAAAATATGATGTACATCTAAAATAAAAAAAGGGATCGATTTTTATCCATACCAGGCTTTATTTCAAAGTAGCTGTTTAGTTGGAAATGCTGCTGTTGTTCCAGATGCACGTTCACTGTTGCATTATGAAGACGGAAAGCATCTGACACTGGGACCAACTAGTAGCGGAGAACAACAGTTAGCTGAAATATCTGTTGATTTGTTAAACAACAATGATAGCAATACTAATATCACTATTATGGTAGAGGAGGAAAGTGGAGTGGTATCCAACAATCTTCAAACAAGTAACACCGACGGACACCATGGTTTGGGCACAAATATGGTACGACCAACAAGAAGTATCGAAACCTTTTTTCGTTCTTCCAAACCGGAGGATCCGCAAGCATCTCAGTTGTTCAGTTTCCTTCAGGTGCTTACAGCTTGCTTCGCTGGTTTCGCTCACGGAGGCAACGATGTAAGGTGTGACCATTTCATTTAAAATTTTGTACAGTTCTTAAATTCGATGAAATCCATATCGGTATACAGCTTGTTAACTTTTAATAAATTTCTGTAATTTTTGATGCGTTCAACTGAGACGGATATGTATTAAATGGTTTTATTAGTAAAGTTCAGAAGTTCAGATTTTCTTCGAAATTTTGTTTATTATGCGTGATTTTACTTGTAGAAAGTCGAATTTTTAAACTTTTACCCCTCATTTCAAAAATTGTTTAGCAACGCAATTGCTCCGCTGGTGTCACTGTATGCTATTTATAAGGAGAATTCAGTGATGCAACGATCTACAACACCTGTTTGGCTTTTGCTTTACGGTGCTTGTGGCATGTGTGTTGGTCTTTGGGTATTGGGGCATCGGGTTATCTATACGGTTGGTGAGAATCTCACCAAAATTACACCTCCAAGGTAGAACAAGAGGACTCTTTTATTGATTTAATATTGGCAATACCGTTCATTAATACCGCATTTCCTACAATTTTATGAAATTTAAATATCTCATTTCAACTTCATTATTTTAAAACAAACTTTAATATGGCATTTTAATTTCAGTGGTTTTGCAATCGAATTTGGTGCTGCTGTAACAGTGTTAGCTTCAAGCAAATTTGGTCTTCCAGTAAGCTCCACACAATGCAAGGTTTCATTTATTGTGTTTTTTGTTGCAACTGTCCGTCTAACTGGAAAGTTTATTTTGCATATGTATCAGATTTAGTAGTGTTGTGGTGCTACTTCTTGAGATATGAAGCACATAAATCATTTTGGTAAGTCTTTATAATATTCAGGTTGGTAGTGTGGTAGCAGTTGGTGTGATACAGGCGAGCGGCTCTGTCAAGTGGTCTACTTTCCGGAATATATCGTTGTCTTGGCTTGTTACTTTACCTGTTACGGGTAGCAGTATTTTTTTATCTATTTTTATTTCCTATATATTCAATTTTTCCTTTAAGTTCCAAAAAATAGCTGTGAATTTTAGTAGAGTTGCAGGAATAGTTAGGTCTAATTATTAAATGAGTAACATCACTGATTATAGCACAACTGCAGGTCAAACACGGAAAGGCATTTGCATTCCGAAAGAGGCACATAGTATCATCTGGATAACAGTTTACTTCAGTTCTACGGCTTGTTAATGTTCCTTCTAAGGATATTTAAAAAGTTCATTCTTATTATGATTAGGATGTGGTCCGTTGCAGGTGTCCTCAGTGCACTGGTAATGTTGGTCGCGCGTTCGATCATTCTATGATAACAATCAGTGTATTATAATTATTTGCTCATTCACCGGTTTTTGATTTGTGGATATTAGAATAGTTTTTGCTATTGTATGCAAATGAATATTTCTCATAAGCTCACCGCACTTTACTTTCACATAAAATTATTGTTCATTCACTTGTTACAGTTCTGTAAATAAAGATTTTATTAGGACAGCTGCACTAGCATTCCGCTGGGAAAATTAAACGAGAAATGATGACTTTATTTCTTGTTTAAGGGCAAGAATGCAGAAGAATTGAAAGAGAAATCGCATTGTATATGCCAGTAGTTATGTCAAATGTTCAAAACTTGAGGAAAGCCTCCTTCCCACAATATCTCTTACACTTGAACTAAATAAGAACAGTGCAGTGGGAGATGATGATCTGGTTAACGAAGGTGAATCGAAGTTTCAAGATGAATGTGAAAAATGTAGAAATCTGCATGCCACAATTTCCGATATGGCTGGAAGGAAATGTATTTTAACTGGTCATTCCCGAACAATCTTAACTTGATGTATTGTCTCTCAGAGTCTCTCGACAATCTTGCTAGTGTGCTACGGAGTAGTATGATAAGGAGAGGTAGGAGGGAAAATTTACTACAATGAAAGGAGAATATTAGTTAGTTCCCTTTTTTGTTCTGTGTCAATGACTGAATTATGGACTCAGGTATATACATACATCAACAGTAATGCATCTTGATTATTCTTTGTTTTATATTTGTTACGTAGAGTGAATGAGATATAAAGAAAAGGGTAGGTAGAAATCTTGTTGATTGTTAAATCAGCTCTATTTTCTGTATACTTATTTCAATTTTAGAGATCATGTTTCATGTAAAAAATGGTACCAAAATATTGCAGTATTGCATTAGGTTGGATTAACATTTTAGTAATCTGATCATCGATCTTTGAACCAATTTCCTGGAAGCTTTCAACCCTAATTACATTGAATTATAGAAGGGAAAGGTTTCGTGTGACACTGTTTGTCGTGAAAGACGAAATATTTAAATTATTATATTCAAAACTAACAAATTCCTCTTATCTAATTCCTTTTCCTCACACAACAAAAACCCTTTGTTAGCAAAACCCTTTATTAGCAGTCTTTGTTTCACATCAGTTAAATATCCTCTGCCGGATATCTGGTCAGTTCAGTTCTGCATACAAACAATCGTCCTCCATACGGTTGTTCTTTCTGCATTTTGGGGTGGTTTTGATATCATTTTAATGTTTTATAATTATATCCTTCGTTACGCATTGTTATAATATTGATTTGTCGGTTTAATTACCCAAGTTTGAGGTTTCACGACACTGTTGATGAACATCAAATTAGTATGCTACAATTGATTCATTGAATAAGACAGCAAATATAATCGACTTCTTTTCTCAACTATTTTTACAAGAGTGAGCATATGTGTGCATACAATAATAACAATAGCTTAATTGGTCTGAACGATAACCGGAATTTTCAAATTTCTTCGTGTTATTTCGAATACAGACAAGTGATGTGTTGTGTTGTGTTATGTTGTGAGTCCGTCTTTCTCCGACTTCTCTCTTTTTCCCTCTCCTTATGTTCCTCGATCGGAAACGGTAGGTAGTCGTGTTCTATCAGGAACTTAACATTACAGCATTTCACGTCCTCTTCTCCAACACCACTCTTCATATCGCGTACACCTGTCGTCGTCATCTGAAGTTAGTTAGCTTATCGCCCCTCTTCATCTCAGCTGTCCTTCTTATCCGATCCTCCAATCCTCCTCCTCTTCCTTCCTTTATATTCCTTTCTATTTAATCTCGTCTCACTGCTCTGCTCCATTTCAAATCTGTCCTTTCTTCCTGTTATATGATGCACACAATAATGGTGTACTTAGTTATCTTAATTCATTACTAATTTAGCAAATGAGTTGGCAGTACCACTATTCGACCTCATAAAGTTAATTAATAGAAAGTTCGGAAGAGAAATGAGCAGAATAAATCCATCCTCAAAGATTTAACTAAGTCCCGATGATTCTGTTCTTGTTAACTAGATAAGATGAACTGAAATTTTGCAGAACTGAGTTAATAATACTAAGAATTTAGCTACACTGATAAATGCTGCTGTATTAGCGAATACAAAGAGTAAATTTTAGATGAAACACTCTGATGACTATCATATATGAAATGAAATGATGTGTTGTTTTCTTTCTGCTTCCTACAACCTTTTCTATTTTCGATATGTTTCAAAACTGAAGAAACTGGTTTCATTGTCAGAACGGGCAGATAAATTGCACCCCATATTACATATTATGCCGTATCATACATAACCATCTGGGTGTGCCAAAAAAACTCACTGAAAGAAGAATACTCCAGTCGGAGTCTTTTTATACTTTCCGCCATGTTTGGATGACAATGATACTTGTACTGTTTGCGCTGGTTGTTTTGTTTTGAATACGTTACTGCATGCAACGTTGTGCACCATTAATTATTTCAATTTGAGCATTACAATCAGAACGTTGTAGAGAATGATCATATCCCTTCTATGTGACAAAATGTTGACTTGAGATCTTCTGAATGCGTTTTATTACGGATCGCAACGCAACGCAACGCAGTGTGCAGCACGAAACGCTAACCTTGACGCTTTATGCACGCATGAGTGCAAGGAGTGGACCGAAATTGTTGTTGTTATATTGTTGATGGATAGAAGGAAATTTTGTCCTTAGGTTTAAGTTTAAGAGGAGTGAAGGTACTATCCATCTACTATACTGATCGAGCATCCTGTTTTGCTTCTTTCGAAAAACTTGTTTCTAATCTAAAATGAAACCAATCTTCTGCAAAGACATTTCTTCATAGTGCTGTCCTTCACATAAAAATCTAAATGACCTTATTCTTCTCCCATTTCAATTTACCACCTTTTCTCCTTTTGTTCTAATTAACCCCTCGATCACCTTCATTGCAATCTTTCGGTCAGTACTCGTTGTAAAAAAACCTATTTCATGCTGACCTCTCGGCTTCCAATTCGTAGCCATCCATTATTCCATGCACTGCGGAATTTTTCTCGTCCTCTTGCCATCTGTTTTCCACGGCTTCCAATCTGTGCACCGGATTTCCTGATAGACACGAATGCTATTATCATTTCTCGGAAGAGATATCTCAGGCATCTAATAGCCAATGTTCTTCACTCATATCTTCTCCAACTCCTCTTAACTCTTCATTTGGATACACTTAAAGTTTCACTATTTTTTTTACATCCAAAAGTTGTTACAAAGAGGATTATGAAACATTGTGTATAAGAAATCTTTTCGAATTGCATGCGGTAAGATAAAAGAATTTGAAATAAAGTTAAAATCTATACATTCAGTGGGTATGGCAAGCCGATCAGTTTTACAACTACTATTATCCATTGCTGTATTATTATGTGCCACAAGTGCTCAACAAATATTTCTCGAACAACGTAATCGATTTTTTCATTTTTTGATTAAATTTATGGCGTGTAGGGTTATATATATATATATCAATTACGCATATTAGGTATAATCGGATAAATCTTAGATTAAGAGAGTTACGTTTATTTGTAAATTTTACGTTCTATTGTTGTGCTAAACATTTTCTATTGATAGAGGTGGAAATGCTTTAAGCAGAAAAGATGTCTGTTTCTACCTCTTCTGTAATCTAGTAATCTGGGTTAATATAAAGCCGAAAAGATGTTCACTAATGAACGATTGATATGAGTGAAAAATGCACTCGTTAAAAAAAGAAAAAAAAAACTTTTATAAAATAAGTCTGGAATGAAATTTAAACGATTAACTCATAAAATTTCTTGTAATATTTATATTTGTATATTTCAGAGCTGGATCAGCTACCAGCGCCTGATATTGGCGGTAATGATGTATTGCCAAAAATGCATCCCACTACTCTCGAAAAAACTGGTGAAGACCTAAACACCCATGGTGAGATACCATCTGACACATTGGTTGACCCGGATGGCCGTATCGTTGCTTTTTCGAGACGATTGGAACAAAAGTAACACCTATTACTTTTAAGAATGACAGTACAAATTAATCGTTATTAAAAAGTGTTATTAGTTATTTCTTTATTCAGCATTGACTGCTAATCACTAACAATACAAGTCAACATTGTAATCAATCTAAATTCAGCTTAGCATTGATTCTAGAGTGATAACTCACACTTGGGTATGACAAAAATTTTCACTTTCAGTATTTTTTTATAATTAACTTTTTCTAACTAATTTGTAGACATGCAGAAGAATTGCAAGAAGAAAGGGAACTTCTGCAACATATAGCAAAAAAAAGTGGTAAGGAATTGATTTCATGGGATACTTGCCTGTGGACAGCACTTGGTTGCATTTGCATCATTGCATGCGGCGTTATTCCTGCATTTATTTTACCACATGATTTCACTGAGTTTCTGCAATCAAACTGTAAGTTTTTTGTGGGTCAAAAGTATATTCTTCAGGATGTATCGAAAATGAAAACGAATTTTCTCTAGCCATGCAGTTCCTAATGCAACTTTCAAATCTATGAGTAATAAGAATTCCCTAAATTACTGAGCTAAAAATGATCTGTTGAATCATACTGAGAGTCAATAAGTATTTGTGCATGCTATTCTTGTGAGATTTCTGTTCTTCGCAATGTGTTATTTCAGATGGTCGCCGAAGCTTACATCTTCTACTGAGTTTCACTGTTGGAAGTTTGATTGGTGATGTCTTCCTGCATTTACTTCCAACTGTTTGGGCAGATGCTCAAGGTTGGTTTTTTTTTTCATTTGTGATTATTTAGTCTTAATAATACAGAGCAGTATATAAATAAGTAGCAATATAATTTTTATATTCTAGTGGATAGATTGATAGCAGGTGTCTGGACAACAGCGGGTGTTTTGTTTTGCTTTATACTGGAGAAGTTCTGTTCAACAAATGAATTTAGTCAACGTAGGGTGGGTTCTTTTAAAAATTTGAATTTGGCTAACAAGTTTATTTAAAGGAAATATTTTATCGATGAATGTAATAATTATGTAATCCCTTACAGAGAGGACTATCTTAATTTTCAATTTTTGTCTCCAAAAGCCGAGAACAGCATAAGATGATTTCTGTGTTAAAATCCAAATTAGATCGAAATTAAGGAACTTATCTCTTAAACTTCTGCAGATGTGCGCTGTTTTAAATCTTATCGCCAATTTTATGGACAATTTCACTCATGGTTTAGCCGTTGGAGGTTCCTTTCTAATGGATACGAAGGTTGCCATTGAATTTCTCCGATTCATAACTTTCTTTTCCACAAGTTTGCAAAAATATATTTATGAAAGTTTTTTAATAAAAGATCCAAATTTATACCAACCATTTATAAAAGAGAAAAAAAAAGTTGATAGAATTGGCGAAGACACAAAATTTGAGAGCCTGATTTAACCGACATATTTCGGGAATGTCATAATACTTACTAATATTTCTTGCTTATTACTGTTGCTATATTTTATTGCTTATTTTATATTTATACTAATATAATATTTCATATTTCATATTAATATTAATTTTAATACTAATATAATATTTCATACTAACATTTATATTAATTTTATATTAATCGAGTTGATTCCCGTGATGATTGAATTACTTTTCTATAAAGAGTTCATAATTGTAGTCAATTTAAGCTTAGTTATCTTAAACAAAATATTACTAATAGAGCTATAAAACTGAAACTCATTGTCTGCAGCTTGGCTTGTTGACAACATTCTCAATAGTTATCCACGAGCTACCCCATGAAATTAGCGACTTTGCCATCTTACTTCGCGCAGATTTCAACAGATGGTCTGCCGTACGAGCTCAGGTTAGTCATTCGTTTAGATGTTTTGAAGATATCTTTGAGAAATATGAAATTCTTCATGAAAACAATGTATGATAAAGACATGAAAAAAGCCGCTTTTAAAATTGTTAATCGGTTTCAAACAAAATTACGACTGGTCCTACAATTACAGTTGTTGACCGCAGTTGGTGGAGCTCTAGGAGCATACACAGCGTTATTCTTGCACACCGAATGCACAAAGAATGAAGCATCTCAGAACATTCTGCCATTTACGGCCGGTGGTTTTATCAATATTGCCCTCGCCCAAATACTGCCTGAACTAATGAAAGAGACCGATTCAAGGTATCAATTTATTACTACTATCGACCAGGGAACACTCTACCTCCTGAATTAGCTGTTTTTTTTTTTTTTTTCGGATTATAGCTTTGATTGGATATAAATGTTAGCTCAGTAACCAGTTGAGATTCCAAAAGAACTAATATTTTGAACAGTTAGCGACCTTCCGAACAGTTCTACTCAAAAAATTCGTTGAATATGTGTGAATTCCTGTAGGACATTGTTCTTCATCCATTCAACCAAGTAATCACTTGGTACAATTTCAGGCAAAATATTTTACAGTGGATATGTTTTTTGATTGGTATTATATTGATGGGTGTATTGAATCAATTTCACCTCGACTAGAATCATTCAAGGCCTTGGGCCTTAACGGCATAAATGTTTTAATATACGTTTTTGTGGTGAATGTTCTACTTGTAGGCAGTTCCACTAAAAAGTCTTAAAAGTCTACCCGGTAGTAAATAGGTGATTGTTGTTTCCTCCATCTAACACTGCATTAATTGCTTTGCATTTTATTATCTAATCGTACTTGTAATGATTGTTTTTCTAGTATAATAAACTAATATCGCCCAGTTGCACTGACACGAGTTACATATAATTCAGTGTAAAACAAATCAAGATAAGATCAACCAGTAGACAGAGAAGTTATCAGGACTGTTAGGGGTTTGGAAGTGGATTTTTTTGCACATAATCGTAGCGTGAAGACGACAAAAAACGACTGAATTATTCAACTTCAAGCAATACCTTCCATCACTGATGGAGATCATAGTTTGCCAGACATCCGAAGGCATCGTATCACGCCTTATCCTCTGCTTAGTTAAGTAAGGGACAGGTCACCTTGAGAATTCAAAGCATTGGGTGACACATTCGGGAATGCAACAAACAGACCCCACATATCTCGAATGCACTGTGGGACATCAGAACTACATTCCGTATGTCTAAAATGAAACAGGTGGACCAGGATTTGCATTAAGCTCCGCATTAAAACAGGTCTCCAAGCCAGGTTAGAGGTAGGCGTGGTGAGATGGGAATACAAGGGGTGGAGAGGGGTGGGTAAGATCAGGGTGAGAAGAGATGGCTTTGTCATCTTATTCTGGTACTAAATAAGATGATGACAAACTGAAGTCACATATATTCGTATTTGCATGTTAACGGAATGAAACTTGACGTCGATGACTTTCTGTTTGGTTGCAGGGATTAGTTTGGATATTGAAGAGAGCCACCATGTTGATAGATAGCTCGAGCTAAGGGTTTTTCTGGATTAAAGTGCATTAAGACGGACGTATGAGGATGTTAATAAAGATATGAAAAAGGAGTATTGCTTTTCATTGCACTTTCAGTACTAAACTGTCCTGGTTTAAAGGTAGAAGCTGTGGCCATCTGGTAGTGTGTTGACGTGCAGTTGCACGCACTGCATCGGCATTAAGAAAAGGTTCGCAGGCAGAATTATTAACTGAACGAATATATCAGCACTCCCACGTATTTCTATTCTTAGATCAAGTTCATGAATTTTTATTGAATTGGTGACAAAACAGTGATACGATTTCCTAATAGCTAACCACTATGTCAAGTTTCCTGGATTTTTTGCAGATGAATAAGGATAAGGTTCGTTTATTTAGTGGTCTTCGTGAAGCACGCTGAAGCGAAGTTGTTTTTATGACATATTCATAGATTACATTTAAATGTTTCGCTGTGGGCGCTTCTCAGGAAAGAGAAGACCATTAACAAAATAAGTTTTTATTAGAGAATCGATTGAACAAGTCATGAGTTATGCTGGAAATGAATAGCGCTTCAGTTGCGATGGATGCAATTTCGTATGTTCGTAGTCCTCAAAACTAATCTTGAGAAACATTGTGCACGGACTGTTTCTTGGCAAATTTGCAGACATTCCGGCCGAAGAAAAAATTTCCAGTTGGAACGTTGCGTTATAACCTGCATAAACAGGCTCAAGCTACGCTCCATTCGGGTTTAGATTTAAAAGCAGCTGTTCGATTACCACCTAACGAGAATTTCGAAGACTGGTTAGCTGTTCACAGTAAGTTTTGCAATAATTGAACATTTTGTCTACAGTTGCATTTAATGGTGTGAGTAAATGTGTAAATTGCAGCGGTGGACTTTTTCAACCGAATAAATCTTTTGTATGGTATAATATCGGATGTTTGTACAGCGAAATCTTGCCCTACAATGAGTGGTGGGTCTCGGTAATTAATTTTCACTCTTGTGTTAAAAGAAAATATTGAGGATTGATGATTGATTATCGACTGTTATAAGTATTAGTAGCTAGTTAAGTCAAAAAGAAGTCATGGTGGTAATGTTGCAGTTTAGAATTTTTGAGTCTTAGGCAATGTTGAGGTCATCGTGTGTCAGAATAGTGATAGAATTAAGTGTGGATTCGATTTATATTTTCTCTTATTTCTTTTCTCAGAACCGAAATTGTGATTTTTTTTTCATTGCAGATATGAATATCTTTGGCAGGATGGTGTCAGTTATAAAAAGCCAACAAGATTACCTGCACCTGAATATATATATCTTCTCATGGACTGGATTGAGATACGAATAAATAATGAAACTATTTTTCCTTCTAATACTGGTATTAATTTTTGTTAGTAACAAACATTAATTTGGTCAAGAGATTGCAGAATTTGGACGATTATATTGAATCTGGGTTGAATCGGCACCGTTTTAGCTTTGCGTAGTGGCTATAACTCAGATGTTTCGTATTTTGCAGAGGTTCCATTCCCGCGAGATTTTCGACAAACATGTAAAAAGATACTGACAAGATTGTTCCGAGTCTTTGTTCATATTTATATACACCACTTCGATCGGTTATCACAATTAGGAGCTGTGAGTTCTTTTTCAACAGTACCTAGAAGTAATTTATAATACAAATGTCTGTATTGATTATAATGTTCCAAAATATGGTATTTATGCTATCCTTTTAGGAGCCTCACGCAAACACTTTATACAAACATTTTTACTATTTTATCACTGAACATCAAATGGTTTCATCACGTGAGTTAGATGCGCTGGCAAGTTTTTTTTTTTTTTTTTTTTATACTTTATTACAGAATAGGAATTAGAAATGCTCGGGTTGAATTAGCATTAATTTTTGAGATTTCGCATATTTTTTGTATATGCGGGATAAACGAATGTTTTAGAAGGAAATGACACAACGGTTGATTGTTAATTCTGGCAACCGACGAATTCGTGTTGAATGAAAGCTAATGAGGTTTTCTAAGCCTCTTGTCTGGCTGTTTGCCAATTTCCGGCTGTGAACACTTTAATCTTGAACACTTTGTCCATTGTGGCAAATATTTTGTGTAAGAATTATTTCACTGAGTTATCTCAATGAAACTTGTAAAAGATAAATGACGACGATCTGTTGTCTCGACCCACTTGTATTGTCATATATACGATGATAATTGTACTAGTTGATTTAAATATTTGTACTTTTCTATAAATAACTGTCACATTTGTACAAAGTTTTCAGCGCTATATAGCATTAATTTGTTCTTATGCGAAAATTTGTGTATTAAATTGAAATGTTATCAGTGGATATACTTACAATGTAGTGATTTTAATACTTACATTTAATAAATTGAAAACGTTGGAAGAATCCACAGTGTAGATTTCTGTCTTTATGCATTGGATCGGTGGTCTTTGTGTTTTGTAAAGAAATTGATTCTTGAGATATTAGCATCGAAAAGAGTAGTAATGTCTGGGTGGCAGTGTTCATTCGGTAAAAAACTAAATTTGTGTTCGTTAATTAAGAAAAGTTTTAATTTTTAAAGATGGAAATTGGATTGCTGCGTACTCTTTTATCTATGAGTAAAGACTCGAAAATGGAACTGTTTTTCGTGGGTGCAACAAAACATAATAACTGAAAACAAAATCCCCTCAGTACCAATTTCATGGTGAGACATTCTTGGCACTATTTCTACCACACAAGTCAGTAAAGTACTAAGCAAAGTATAAGCACAATTGAAACTTTCAGTCATATGGCTTAAACATTACACTCTCACTTCTGTCACCCAAACTTTCTCGCATGTATCTTCAGATAATCTGTATGTAAATATTAGCTTTGTCGCTTTGACCAGCAGATCATGTACATTTAAATCATTTTAAATTTCAGTCTTCCTATACAAACATTTGTTTGTCTAATATACTTTAACTGTTTTTTTCGATTTACATATCTCTCCCAGGTTTTCCTCATTCTGGCGATTTTGCCATCCACTCCTGTTGTACTTTGTCCGAAGTTAATTGAATTACATCTTACATTTTGTGATGAAACCTTTTTTAAAGTTCTGGAAAATGATGTCAGCTTATAAAAAATTGATGATATTTACATACATATTATCTGAAGATACATGTGATCATATACATTGCAGAAATGAATTACTAGTTAGGTGTAAGTTTTGCGTACTCTGCTATTTGCTCCGATTCTATCATTCCAAACGGAGGACAGCACTCGAAAGATGACAGTGTTCCCAGAGAGCCACTTATGTACGCTTAGTCGTATGTACAGAACCGTTGCATATATATATATATTATATATATATATATGTATAAATAACATTCTTGCTCAGTCATACTTTCAAATAGAGACGATTGATTCATCGAAGGTTTTTTTTTTGAAAAATAAAATGGAACTTTGCAAAAGTGTTGCTGCTAGAGTTTAAGCAATAAAACGCGACAAATAGCATCACTTTTGCTGGCTGCTTCCTTATTCTCTGTTCTTCCTCTGTGAAAAATTATACAAAAGTTCAAGGCGATGCTTATTCCGTCGAGTTTTTTGTTGTATGTAAGATAGAAAAGATTGATTGGAAATGGTAATGACAGTAATTGGTCCAGCTCAAAAGTTTAATTCCAACTTAAAATTGAACTTTTTGAATAGGACATATCGCTCACTACCTCTGATGCTCAATAACTGTTCCTTTCACTACTATATCCTTTTGCCTGACAATGGCATCAGCCCAGTGTTTCACATTGATAATTCTCGTCCAGTTCATTCCTCCGTCAATTAATATATTGCTGCTGATTTGTCGTAATTTCAACGTTCCGTTTCTAACAGCACAGCAAATTTTCTCTCGCAATCTCCTATTCCATTGCATTCTTTTTGTCCTGTTCAATCCTGTTTTTTCAATATTGCTGTACCATTGTGCTGTTAGCTTTCCTTGTCATAAACGTCCGTTAACCTACCTCATCATCATCATCATCGTCATCACCATCATCATCAACATAGTCATCAGCAAATAGCAATAGCAACAGCAGCAACACGAAAATTGATGAAATGTTTGTATTGACAACAATTCCCTAATATTATTTGTTATATACAAATTTGGAGAAAAGAACTCTCAAGTCGAATTACTGAATGGTCTAAGCTTCAAGCGTTCATCATTTCTCACCTCTAACTGAGATGACATATTGTCGCATATCATATCAAACGATATGAGAAACTAACTATTCACCTGTCCCCATCTTCTTTCCACTTGTCACCAAACTAATCATCAATGGGTTTTTAATTTCTCCATGACTGATGACTATTTCACATATCTATCTTCTGTTACTTAATATGTAGTGTTTGTCGATAGATAGATTCAGCAAAAAATAGAGCATCAATTTTTTTAAAATATATATTTTCGAAAAGCATCTATTTTTTTTTTTTTTGCATGTATCTATCTAAACTGATCATTTCTATAACGTGAACTCTTCTCAGTCATTCCTCTAACCAACTCCATTTTTCTCTTCGGATGCAACTTGTCAGTGACCATTGGATAGTTTCAAATGCATTCTACTGCTGTGCTACTTCTTACTTACTCTTAATTTCTGATTTCTCAACTTTCAATGTGCAAAAAGACATTTTTTGAAAAGCTGTTACAATAACTTACATCGCAAAAGTAATATTTACATTTCGCTTTAGCTTCCAGTCCGTTATTTGTTACGGCAAAATAAATTGATCGTATGTCGTATAACTAGCTCGCACAACAAAATCAAAGCAACATGTCAGTGATCTTGTCATCCCGTATACATTACTTGTCATTTCTTTCACTATCTGTATTTGATATTTTATGATTGGATAGCGAGTATCTTTCCTCATTTTTGACATCATAATTTCTATTCAGTGCAACAATTTCTATGTGATGTCGTTTCTTCGGTTATCTTCCCTTTTCACATGTTTTAACCTATAAAAACAAAAAAAAAAAGACCATTTCTTGAAACTAGCAAAGAAAGAATAATCATCTTTCCAACAGCTGCTTTTCCTCGATTAGCTCAGTTTTTTTTTTTTCTCTTTCATCGACCAGCTGCTGCTTGCAGAAACGCATGCCTTCTCTTGCGATAGAAATAGTCATATTTTCTAATTGTATACCTTTTTGGTTAAAAATTGAAAATATAAAATTAATTCTTCAGCAGCTTAGAAGCCTATATTTATGCTAGAGCTAATTTGCCAAATGACAAAAATTAAGATAGTTGTTGTTACGAGGTCACTCATAAGATTGTCATTTGCAGTCGATGATGTAACAAATTAGAGACAACAACAATTCGCTCCTACGATGAATGGTTGTGCTGGCTGATGTTAATAAAACGATCCACTGGTATATTTGAAAGAGTTGTTATTCAATTCCTTGGTAGACAGTCATTCATTGTCTACGTACCTTCTTTCCACCTTTAAAACAAATTAAATTATTTCCATCTTCATATTATCTTTTTCATTCTCTTCCATTTCTAGTGATCACCGATCACTGAATATAGCTTGTCATTCATTTATTCATTGTTTGTTATACCTTCTTCCAGCATAAAAGTTTCGTTTCTAGTTGAATAATGCTTTAGTACTTCAGAATTCTTGTCCTCATACAATACCTTTTTTGTTATTTTCTCCACTAAACATATTGTGTCTTATTCTTAATTAAGATTTCTGATATGGATGGATGAATAATAGTTGCTGTCGCCTAGAATTGATCTCTTTGAAAGATGGAATTTGATGCAAACCTGTTAGCTTAAATAAACACGAAAATGTCGTATTACACATGATGATCCCTCTTGTTGCTTATTGAAAATGATGGGAATTTTTTCACTCTCACAAAACTTACTAAATCATGAAGCGATTAGCCAAAAGTACATCTGAGAGAGAGAGAGAGAGAGAGAGATTGTCTAGCTAGCATTTGCTCTCTTCTAGCAGAGCTAACTGTTTCTTTCACAAATGAACTGGTTCCTGCTGTGTATAGTCTGTGACGAGCTCGTCCACAATAAAGAAATGTCACAAATTTGCTGAACTACTTCAAATTAGCTGATTCTCGAGTCTCGAGTCTACAATAGCTGTAAATAGTATTCGCTACAGTCACACCAACAGCAACTTCAAACGCTTAAATGATATTCACTGATAAATATCAGATAAGGAAATGCAGCGAACAAGCCTAATGATTAATGATAATCTCATAACTGCTGCATTAATTTCAATGTTACTAATCCCACTTCAACATATTTGTCCTGCTCAGCAAATTTGTGACATTTCTTTATTGTGGACGAGCTCGTCACAGACTATACACAGCAGGAACCAGTTCATTTGTGAAAGAAACAGTTAGCTCTGCTAGAAGAGAGCAATAGTGTTTCATACTCTCAATTGCCATCCAAAAAAGAAAGGAATGCATGATTAGTTTCGAGATTAGTAGTGAGCGCAAGCACTGAGATAGATAACGGATTTGATATTTATTAACGTTATACTGTTTCCGGTGCCTATTGAAATAAACCTCGGACACTCTTTATTTGTTTCAGATGTTTGAATCTCCATTTAAAAGCGATTTTGATTTCGGTACAGAATTTGAATCCTCCACACAGCATCCTTTTTCTCTTCGCAGTCGATTACGCGAAGTTCGAGATGCATTTCGAGGATTTCGGGTAATTTTTTTCTTCACTGTTTGCGATTCAATCTTTCCTCTGCAATAAGATTTCAATTTAGGTCAAGCTGTTTCCTGCTACAGAGTTTTTTTTTTTTTTTTTTTTTTTTTTTTTTACGGATTTCCATAATTGTATGTATACAATGGGGATGATGCAAGAGAATTTTTGCATCGTGGTTGAAGAATTAATATTCAGTATAACGTGTAATTTCGTCACGTTTTGATTTGAATAACCATTCCCACCGTAAATGTCTATCACATTAGTTAGTATGTCCCTGAAATTAAGAATCATCCAATGATTAACTATCGTGCTTGCTTGCTTAAAAAATGATTTCAAAAGACATCTATCATGAAATGAAAGTATTAGACGATGGAAGCAACCCTTTCAGAAGCATTTTAAACATTAAACTTAGTGGCTTACATGACCTTTCAACTTTCAGATTCACTGCACATTTAATTATGTTGCATATTTTTCCGTTCACAAATTCATTGCACTCATAGTCGACATTATGTGACAGTTATGCTCATCGATAAATTATAGTCAAATAATAATATATAATTCAAGGACATTATTTATAATTACAGTAGACTATTGATATGTGTTGATACGGACTGATACAGTGCGCTTTCAATAATATTCTGTGAAATGGCCCAGTCAACGGACGGTTAAACATAAAAATTCTTGCTAGTAAGGCCTCTTCAGAGGATTGTAGTAGGCGTTTCCGAGTTAAATTGCATGCTGAAAAAAAAAAAAAAAAAACGGAAATTTCGGTTTATTACATCCATCTCCTTCTGGCAATAAATTCAACGATCTGAAATTTCACATTTCCATGCCATGCTATGCCCACTGGATTATTAAAGCCGTACACTTCTGAAAATGTTTTTTGGGCATTATACTACCAACTTGTTCTTAATTTAAAATTTTTGATACCATTATTCTTCCATCACTTTCTGTTCTTTTTTAATTACTCATATCTGATTCAATAATGGTACAGTATGGTCATATTGTTATCATAATCTGTCTATACGTTTCACTGTCGGAATTAGATTTAATTTTTGTTTCGAATTTAAGATATGTACGATTAGTACTAGGTTTTTCAATTTTTATTAACTTTCAAGTTTAGCGAACAATTAAGTAATAAAACACTTGCAACTTCTATTAAGGTACTTGAAATATTTTGTTCATTTTTGGCTTCATAATGAATTTTTCCTCAGCTACGAGGATTATTTTTAAGTCCTCTTTTGTACATAATTATCAATTTCTGCATTAGAAATATTCAGTTCTTCATCTAATCAATTTTATTTTCTTATGAATAAGCCACAAATGCTTTTTAAACACACACAAAAGAAAAGAACTTATCACTATTGTCAACAGTAGTTAAAATCATTTTTAAATTATTTTGCAGTTATCATTTATAAAGGAAAACTTTAGTGTTATTCTTACTGCCACGACAGATACACACATTCTTTTGCAAAACGAAAAGCTAACAAAAAGTTTATGTCAACGATGCTTCAAGTACTTTTCAGCCATCACCTGGTACTGGTACTGTTTCTCACGGCGAGTCAAATCTTCCAACTATGCCAGTTCGGAGTGCATCCGACACCGCCACATCTTCAATCGTAAGTAAAAATAAATTAGTTTTAAGAGTCTTCTTCAGTTGTCTCCCATGAGCGTCTCCTGCGTGAGTAATAAACGTAAAACTCTCTGTTATTGCCTCCTTTTTTAGATTTTTTGTTACCCAAACAAAAAATGTCAAAATTCCAGCAGAAGCAGTAGGAATTTCATCGAGACATGAAGTCACGGTGATAACTTTCCAGAATTAATTATTTTTAATGAAGTTTCTTTTTTTTTTTATTCCAACAATGGCAACAGTTTTAATATTTTATGCTACGGTGTTAGCAAAACATAACTTTTTTTATTTGATACAGAAAAGCTCAAACTCTCCTTCTCTCCCGATGAAAAAACCGGTAAAAGAAATTGAAGTATCAATACAATTCCTGTACGAAGTAATACGTACCGATATGTTTGAAGTACTTATTGGCAGTGCTAGTGCTGTTTTTGATTCAGTTCTTTCTTATATAGCAACACTAAAATATCCTGCACCTTGTGTTCAGGTCAGTTCATCCATTTTATTTATCAGCTTACTGCACCTCAATATGTGGTCTCCGATGATCTTATACCCTTTGAACTTTCCATTTTTAGGATGCTCTAATAGCTTTGTTGGATTGGGTCGAAAACAAGATCCTATCAAGTACTATTTATGATGATGTTGATACTGTTGTTGGGGAACCAGGAAGCTCGGAAAGCGATGGAAGTGAAGGAATACGTTTAGCTACTGAGCTCTTGAAAGTTTGCAGATTTTATGTAATATTTCTAGTAGGTAATAATAGTTTTTAGCATGCTAAATTATCGAGAATTAGATAATTTTATTAAGTGCAACCGTGATCTGATTAGGATAGAGGATGTGCAACATTGCTTCGAAAAATAGTTGTACATTGGTTTATCAGAAGATTAATTGATTAATTTATTTATTGTTCAATTCGATTTGGTTTTTTGCTAAGATATCTTGTGGACTTCCTTCTACATAATTCTTCTCAACAATGTCCACCTGTAAGTAAATAATTCTCCGAAAATTTGCATATACTCAACTGCTCATACATTTAATAAAAAGTATTGACAATTTGCAGGCTATTGCGGAAGTCGATGAGAAATCATATGAATCTAGTTCAAAACCTGAAAATGTCAAGTTGTTGGGATTTCATCAGGAACACCACAACAACACATCCGTAACACCAAATAATTCAGGTTTCCACAGTATATCCAGTGCTGATATAACTTCCCCTTTTAATCATTCATCTGGATGTATAGGCGAGTTTTTTTTCTTGTACATCTTTCATCATAACTACCAAGACTAAAGCTAGAAGAAACAGTAAACATCAAATGCTAAAATAAGCTGATAATGTATAATCAAAATTGGTTTTCCCTAAAGGATACGGAATGTAAAATTTCATTCCTATTCTTTGAAAATTTGTTGGCAATTTTATAAGTCTAAAAATATCCGTTGTCGAATGATTAGGTTGGTAACTTGTGAGTTAATTAGACAGTAACTTTAATATTAAACATATTGTTGTAATTTAGAAATCATGACAAACAGTACGATTTTAAGATTGAGTAGTGCTTGTTTCAATCGATCTTTTTTTTTTTTTAGATTTTAGTCATATAACTTACTTTTTTAAAGGGACCACTGATATCAGCTTGGTGGATCAGAGCCTCGATGACCTTTTGGCACAACTGAATCTGCATCAAGTCACAAAATTTGAACCAATTTTCCCGCAAGTTGAAAATGAAGATAGTGATGAGGATGATTCGGATATTGTCCACGAAAAAAGGTGCTAAAAGATTAACATATCTGGCAAATTACTCAATTTAATAAAGCTTTCCCATTCCTTTTTTCTTTTTTCTGTTTTTTCAAGGTGTAAAAATAGAAAAATTTTTGGCAGTTATGAAAAGTAAATCTGCGCTTAGAAAACAAGAATGATTAAACTGAAAGAAATTAATTTTCTTTTTTTTTTCGCATATTTTAGAGAAGAACGAGAAGAGAAAAAAGATACGAAAACTTGTGAGGAGGAAGTTCAACGATTGTCGGATGGAAGTGAGATAAGGAAACGGAAAACGAGAACATTTAATATGCTGCAGAATAGCAAACAGGTATTTGAGTCTTTTGTTATTTATATTCTAATTTCCATTTTTTTTTTTTTTTAATCTAATTTATAATCGTCAATTTGTCACTATTGTTTCACGGTTAACTTCATAAATTTAATTTGATTAAGATAACTGTATAATTGATGTGATGGAAAAATACAGGTAACTGTACGCTCACATGGTAATGGAGGTGATGAGATTGTTAATACCTTTCATGACGGTAATACATCATTCAACGATGATTTGGCAACCGATGATTTCTTCACAACTCCTCGAAATTCATTTGGGCGTAATCATTTGAATAGAGATAAATGTCTGGATGATTTGCTGAAGACGAAAGATGATTCAACAAATCCAGATGAAGGCATTTCCCAAAAAATCAAAAGTGTCCAACATACAGATACCGTTTCCCAGTAAATTATTAGCATATATATCTTTTTTTTTTTTGGAGTCTTTACTAATTGAAGAATAAAGCAGTTGTAATACGAATTCAAAAATATCTGTGTATATCCAGAAAAGTGTCGAAGACAGCGAAGAAAAATGGAAAAGTTATTGCGGACGATGCTGCACAAAAAATTGATAGAAGTGAACTAAATGCAAGACAAGTGGAAACTTTTAAAGTAATGTAATGAATTACGTATGAGATATATCGCCGTCCTTTTTTTTTTTTTAAGTTGAGTTCTAAAAAAAAATTTGAAATTGGAGAATTTCCATTCGAGTTAATTGTTTAAGCAAAATTTGTAATTACTTAACTGCTATTCAGGATGTTAAATTGCTGGATCGTCGTGGAAGTGGTTCTTACGAGGAGCACAGTACGGTTAAAATGGGTCTCACCAAATCATCATCCTCACCTCCAATTCCTCCAAAACAGCGTCATGTTATTCAATATATGCAGGTAATTTGCATAACCTTATTGTTTCACTGCTTCTTCCTTATTGTTTGCTAATTGTTACTAAATATTAGTTGCATGGTGAACAGTACTGTGTAGTAGTAGTAGTATAGTGCTACCTTACCTATTTCTTCATTTTGTTCGATCAGTTTACTTAATTTAAGGTTAGTAAATAAAGTAATCTAAAACTAGAAATAAATTGCAGACTTTTGGAAACAAAAGCGAAGACCAGGATGACTTCTTCAAGGGCTCAACACTTGCTTCATACATTTGGTTGAACGATAATTTACGATACCACGAAGAACAGTACAAGAAAAAAATTTCATTCGAATTTTCATTATCCAGTTTGCTTTTTCTTCGTTTACATTGCTTCCCACTCTTCTCCTACTTCTATGTCTGTTCTCATCATTATTTTCTCTTCTCAATATTTCATATTATCTATCCGCTTTTAGTGTAGTCGAAATATCTGTGAAGATCACGAAAGTTTCACACTCGTTACTTTCACGCTGACAGATTTATTCATTTCCTATCTTCAATTTATTCAACGCAACACAAACTTTTTCTGCAGGAGCAGCCGTGTCAAGTCAGCACTTTTCCGATTTGAGCCAATTGCTGCAATACAGTGAAACTGACAGAATTATGCTGCCAAAACGATATATGGATGAGGTATAAAGAGAAAGGGTCTTCATTATATGTTATGAATTTAAATTGCTTATTTCTATTATTCAAATGATATATCGTTTGTACTGAAACATATTTGGCTTATTTTGTGCACAAAAGTTTCAGTTCTCTTCTTTAGGATGTAGAAAATAATTCCTCTAAATGCTGCAATATTCTGATAATAGCTAGTCTATGGAAAAGATTTGATGATGTCGCTTAATCACTTCCCCTAATTCTTAGTTTAACTGCCAGCATGGATTTTTAGTTGCCTTTTAGGGTTATCTGCATTCTTTTCAAGACTGTTTAATCATTCCTGATTTTTGTCGTAATGGAGAGTGTTGAGCTAGGTTTTGAGAGAGGAATTTTCAGTTTTTGTTTTCGGAATTTGAATATTTGAAAAATTCGTCGTCCAAAGCACAATTCGAAGACTGTTAGCAAGTATTTGCTACAGAATGAGATCGTCTCGAAAGGAACAACATCACTGGCATCTTCGGAGACTTCAGAAATTCTGGAATGTATTGATGTGACAGATTGGTTAATGCTACGAGCACATGATGCATTCTCCAAACCCAATGAAGTAATTAATTTCTTTTGTTCGTATTGCAGTATAAATCATCCTACCAAGCCTCATTTCATTTCCGCATTGCAATTTTTCTACAGGTTCGTGGTGGACCTAAAGATGCGCTGATTGCTTTTGCGACCCAGCCATCAGGATCACTACTTTATCAAGAGGCTTTTCTCACAACTTATCGCAGTTTTGTCGAATCAGACGAACTTATTCAGAAATTGATTAGAAGGTACAAGTTAGAGTTAATTCATCTCTTCGATCTTCTAACAGTTTTACCGAAATAATTATTTTACATCTAATTAAATTTGTTAGTAATAAATTGTAGAGATGAAAAACCTCCTATGTTGTTAGAAAATAACTCGCCGATAGGTTCCAAGGCTTCCTGTATTTGCGTTTTTTGAAAGCTCCAAATTGTTCAGGTATTTATATATGTGTACTATAAAAGAACAGCAGTCAGTCAAAGTAGCTCGTCAAACTTTTTCAATGCTAGTACGAGTGGTTGATGAGTTATGCGCGGTGGAACAAACGCGGAAGCTTATTCGTGTAATTACAAAATTTATAAGTCGCCTTGTTAAAGACGAAAATTATACCTTTGCAAGGATTTTGAGGTTATTCTAATTTTCATAATTATACAACGGAATACCAAGTAATGATGAAATATTGCTTAATTTTTTGATTAAAAACTTGCTTTAACATATTTGAAAAAAAATATCATTTTGATATATAAAAAATATATCAAAAAATATCAAAAAATATCACCACATGCATAAAATTATCCCGCACATCCTGCACATATCTCCCACATACCTAGATTTCCAGGAAACGACTAATGTCACGAATGGACCTAAAGTCAATACAAAAACTCACGGCAACATCAAAAGAGCGAACTAATATGAGGGGTGTGAGCTCAAGGTACGTCTTTATTCCTCTTATTTCTCATATTCTTCACATATAACATCTTCTATTTCAGGCATCTAACAATTTTTGATATTCGTTCCGCAATTATCGCCAAACAAATGACTTATTTGGATGCAGAATTGTTCCATATGATTGAGGTGAAATATGAAACTTCAATTATGAAAAGAGTAGAAGTATTAAAATATATCAGGAAGACATGTATTATTTGTTATCTTCATTTATGAAATTTTGATATAGTTACATTTGCTTTTATTTTTTTTTTTTATAAAACGAAGGAGGATTTCGTGTGACTAGAGCTAAGGAATATTTTCAGCCAGCTGAAATGCTTTGGTGGGCACAAGAACAAAACGAGAAAAAAAGTCCAAACTTGTGTCGTTTTACCGAGCATTTTAACAAGGTAAGACGATTACTACTCCATTGCTCTCATTTTCATCATCCTTTTCTGATAGGAACTGACGTAAGGTTTAAAATATCTGCTGACTAATAGCTTTCGTCTTCTAAAACTTTCCGTGATGAAAAGACGAAATAGTACTATAAGTTACACAAATTCCTTTCATTTATAGAAGAAGATTGTTCCAGGTCTCGTACTGGGTTCGAACTCTCGTCTTGACACCATGTGAGCAAAGAACACGTGAAAAAGTAATGACGAAATTTGTCAAGATAATGAAGGTACCTTTTGTTATAGATGCTTAATCCTAGTCTTTCAGGGTTAGGCCATGTAGACGACACATGTTTCAGTTAGAGGCCTGCTAGAGAGTAATATGAGTTAAGGTAACCACAAGAAATGCACTTCACTACTCTGTCCTGAATATTTGATGCTTGGCTGCTGATCTGTGGCGAGTGCAGCCCTACTGGTAAGGGAAGACTAATAATCTCAAATCCTACTACCATGTCTGTCCTATAATTGAAAGTCGAGAGAAGAACCACATCAATCATCTCCACAGCAGTATATGTTGCGACATCCTTGGAGTGTGTAAAAACGCGTCAACAGGTGAAAATTAACATGACCTTTGAAATTAAATAAGAGATGAAGAAATATTGTGAAAAGCCATGTTAATTCCACTCAATTATTCGCGCACTAATGGATGTATTTGCTTCTTCTCCTGCTAGATAGACGTCGAAATGTTTAGAAGCTTTGTTGCAAAATAAAATTGAAACTGCAATAAGTCGGAAAGAGGGGATACTGTGGAAATGTTAGAATCGGAAGACGAAATGAAACAGTCCAATTGCTTCAGCAAAAGCATAAAACGAAGGAAGACTTGGAATGAATCGAATGTAAAAGTGCCACATCGATTCAACTTAAGGTAGCAGATAATTGATCGCAACACTTTCATCATCCAACAAAGAAAGCGATCATAGCATATTACAATAAAAAATATACCAATAATTTTAGTAACAAATAAATTCCTTACTACATTGTGAAGTTTAATGATGATCTACCATTGTTATCTCGACCAGAACTTCGCCAGAAAGCAAAAAGAAAAGCTAAGCTTAATCAGAAATGCTACACTCTTAAATAACTGTAAAGAAGAAAATCTATAAGAAGGGAATATAATTCGAATGCCCAATTTTCTGCTTTATAAAATAATCAAAAGAAAATTGAGAGAAAACTCGATGGTTCATTGACAATTGGAATAAAAAGACAGTTTGCTGGGAGTGCTTGAGATGCGGGAAAGAATTGTGCTATTATTACTGTTGTTTTTCTATCGTTCTGCTAAACTTGGAATTTCATTTCTTGACGACATTTTGAACAGCGAAATGCCACCTTACATGAACAGCGGAAGACATTAATAAAGAGCATACCTGAACCGGAGTGTACGGAAACGGGAATACTCTACCTTTATATTTTCTCAATATGTAAAATGGATAATAAAATAGGTTTGGAAAAGTCCATTTGACGTCCATTTTGATGAAACAGTAGATATTTAATGTGTTACTTTCTGATAGAGAATTGTGGAAAGTAAAGGATGTCGAGAATACAGGAATTGAAGTGGGTCCAGCAAGTTACTGAGTTATATTCGCAAAAGTGAAAAGGATGGTTTGAATAGCTTCCAAAAATTAGGTGAGGGGTGCTTATTGGAAATGTCAGAAATAGAGACAAATCATAGGAGAAAATCTATCATAGCTGTGTTCAAGATATGTCTTATAGCATTAATAGAATACTAAAAGTTTCAAACGGTCATGATGAGAGTTATTTGACATTTGCATACTTATATGTCAACAATAAGAAAAATTAGAAATGTAAACATTCTTTATAATACTGACAAGGTAATAGAGCTTTACAATTGTTCTTAATTACAGTTCAATAGTGATGAAGTCCTTAACTTATCCTTATCCTTATCTTTAAATATGCTAGATACTGCTTGCCTTCGAATTCCACAATATTTCTAACTGCAGCATTTGCGCATTGTGGGCAATTACAATTCTTATTTGGCCATCTTATCAGCACTAGATTCGGGTCCTATCCGAAGACTGGATTGGTCCAAACATATCACTGATCTCTTGAAAGAGCACTCAGTTGTGATGGATAGCTCACATTCTTTCAAAAATTATCGCACATTGTTAGGCGAAAGCCGACCTCCATGTTTGCCTTACATGTAAGCTTCTATTTTTAAATTTCTTTTTTCTGGCATATATTATTTGTTCTTAAGATGAAGCAATTTCAGTAATTGTTCTCAGGGATAAAAAATAACTTAAAGAGGGCATTTTCCAACTTCAATCACTACACATCTCATCCTTTAAAAGATGATTATTTTGAAGAGGTCTTGTTCTGCAAGATCTAACATTTGTACATATCGGGAATAGCGATTATCTCCCGCCAGAACAAAGCAATGGTAGAAAGAACCTCTTAAACTATGGCAAAAGATGGCAACAATTTGCAATTCTAGACAGCATCCGATGTTTCAAAAGCTGGTAAGCATTGATTTCATAGGTACAATATTGTTTATTTCCAACTGGAGTACGAAACCTACTGACTTTATTGAATTAGTCGTCGTCGTTCTTTCGGATTCATAAAGGTATGTATAAAAAAGATGTTTTATTCATCGAAAATATGCTAATTTGGGAAATGATAGGCATCTTTTGCAGGAATTACTCGATAGAAAAGGATGAAAAAGTTATTCAGTTCTTCAATGGATTCAACAATTATTTGAGTGAAGATGAGATCTGGGATCTGTCAGAATCAATCAAACCACGAACACGTAAAAATAAATAAATCAACCTCTGAGATATGTCAAATCTAGAAACTCTGAAAATGATAAAATGATATATTATGCGACAGCTTAACTGACAATCTATCACACATTATATCGAAACAAATTCTAATCAATCCAAAGTATTGAAAAATTCCTCCACCATTATGGCAACTAAATTGATCACTATTTTGGTGGACAATTAATTACATAAATAGCCTCTGTGAAAGACGTTTTAGAAGATGAAATGATCATGAATTTAATGATTATTATTATTTCATGGAATGATTATTTTTGGTGCTCTGTTAGAAAACTAATCGAACTAATTTTTACACATACAAACAACTCTTCTAACACTGTAATCATTATAGAGTAAACATGATTCAGTCAATGATTAAATGTGATCGCTGAAATATGTTAAATCATGATTTAGTTACAAAAATTCAATTTGATTTTAAAGAAATATAATATTTAAATGCAGAAATTCTGGAAAAAAATTTAATGGGATCAATGTACATCAAATATGGAACGATATTGTAGGAAACCAAATGATTTCTCTCTTCCAGTACAGTGTTATGTTGTGAAAATTGAAAACTGTTTACTCGAATCTTTTTCTTTCTCATTTTTAATCGGAAATTTTGCAATAGTAATGGAACAAATAAAACTGATTTAGAGATATAAAGAAGTAGGAAGGAAGTGGAAGCGGTAATGTCCATCTTCATAATCATTCCCTCTTCATTCTATTCTCGATGTTCTTATTCGCATGGCGGGAAGTTACCGTGCACATGCGCAATGGATTCGATCCCTTTCTGATGTAGTAAATAAGAAAGCATTAATTTTTAACAGGTGATCGATCCATGCATAAGTACTGCTGCAGCGTAGACAGCATCGAAAAACAACGCACGTAACCTTGGACAGTTCTGCATTTCAATTGGAAACATCAATGTGCCCATAACATGTATCCACGCGTAAGAGTATTGCATACCACAAATGGAAGTGGAAAAGCGTGAGTGGCACACGTAAGTACCTCTACGTCCGGAACCGACACAATTTGAATTTCGAAGTCATATTGTCCACCCCATAGCAGCGCAGATGGCTAAGCAACACTCCAGCACTACAACGCCACGTCACCGGTGAAACATTGAAGTGTTTCTAGTGGTTTGGGTTCATCTTGCTAGGAGGCTGGGTAGGACTCGGGAAATTCACTTCGGGTTAGAGGTTAGAATTCACTCTATCTGTCTTTATGATTCGTAGCTGCAGGTGTGAGCAGGTGTGGAATGGAAAGGAACGAAGAAAGGAATAATGAGGAAACAGAGAGCATTGCGAATGACGCTTGCGCACAAGTTGTAAGTATCTCAGTAATATTTAAATTGAAATAAACTTCTGATCGATTTAACGGTATCGAATTTTATGATTCGTTTGAAGCATACTGTCTTACTGATGACTAATTATTATTGGTGTTAATGAGTTGTTGACTTTCATATAATTCTAATAATCTGAGAGAACAAGTGAATAAGAAACTAGAAGAACTGAAAAAGAAACTCTTAGCTGTGCAGTGCAAAAGTAAGAGAAAACGTTTAGCATGAGACATGGATTTTTGTCCATTGTGATTGATTACCGATTGTTAATTGGATGGATTATTTCTCACATACGCAAATTAGATTCTTTTAGCCATTTCAGTTTGTTAGGGATTTACTCGAACTTGAATTTTGTACAGTGACATTTTCTAGTTTTCCTTCCAGGAGAATACAGAAGTATCAAATGAATTGAGTGGTTGTCAGGTGCTTGCGTACGGAATTGGACATTTTTATAACGATTTGTGTGCCAGCATGTGGTTTACATATCTTTTGTTATTTCTGGAAAAAGTGATTATTATGCGCAGTTCCGTAGCTGGTTTGATCATGCTGATTGGCCAGGTACCATTTCATTTCTTCACTACTTTTCTCTTTAAGCCTGGAATCGACGATATATTGATTTGACAAAGAATTAGATACCACTTCATGAACATGCCAATGCTACGAAAAAAAAAAATATGCTGTTATTAATTTCGTTTCTATCACATTGTCATGGATTTAGAATCCTGAATGGTAGAGAAAGAAACATGGTATTTTAACAATCGTTATCTTGAAGTAATGTCTGTAAATTAATATACACGGATTTTGTAGTTTTCTATCATAAATTAAAGAATGTAGCTCGACTTGGCTATGAAATGCCTGTGCATGAATGATATCAGTTCATTACAGACTACCGATGCTTTGACCACGGCGTGTATTGGAGTTCTGAGCGACTGGACATCGGCACCACTTTGTTTTCGGCGTTGCGGGCGAAGGAAATCATGGCATGCTTTTGGTGTGTTATCATCAGTTACATTTTTCTATAAATGCATAACTTCATTTAATTTCATAATGTGGCAGATGATTCAGACACGTCTCTTTCTGAACAGTTATGTGAAATGTTAGGAAGATAGTTTTTGAATAAATGTATACTTACACATTTTTTTACTTCGCATTCACTTGCACATTTGTTTGCTTCTGTTGTTTCTGCTCGTCCATGACCGATATGTGTTTTTACCTATGGTGAAAATATTTTCTGGCTGGAGAAAAACGCAACCAAGAGCAGTTATGTTACATTTTTCGTTCCAGGTACCGTATTAGTGACTTTTTCATTTGCATTTATTTACAATAAATGCTTCATATGCGGTCAGTCAGTGACTGATTGGGAACTTTTAGTCTGGTATGCACCATATGTAATTATATTTCAAATTGGATGGGCTGCAGTACAAGTAATCATTTTGTGTTTCGTTTGTTTTACATTCACTAAATTTTGGTGTTGTAGTCATCAGACTGAGCTAAATGCACATCAGCATTATTTATTCTGCCAAGCTTTTTCAACATTTACAAAGTCTAATTTTCTCTTTTTTTTTTTTTTTTTTTTTTTTTTTTGTATTTTGAGCTATATCACATGATTATATGTTTTCTAGATCTCACATTTGGCTTTGTTACCGGAACTTACGTGTGATGAGAGCCGTCGAACGACAATGAATTCTGTTAGGTTGTTTCTTATAAATTGATAGATGTATTTGTGTACATACCAAAAATAGGAAACATTACAGGATTCAAGTTTCAGTTTCTTTTTTTCTTTTCAATTTTTTTTATAGGTATGGATTTACGGTTATCGCAAACTTAGTTATTTTCGTAGTACTCTCGTTGCTGTTATATTTTGATGATAAAGGCTCTGCGATTAGTCCTCTGGACCTTCGCCACTTTAATGTAAGCTTGCACCGCTGTCTATTAGCGATTTGCAGAAAGTGACATTTAATAGAACTCAAATGAGCTTTATGCACTGCATTTTTAGACAGTTTCGGGAATGGTTATTGTTGTGGGACTTTTTACTGAAATTATTTTCTATACCATAACAAAAGAACCTTCAAGAGCTGATCATGCTCTTATATCTACTGAGCCGAGGCATCATTCTGGAATCTTACGTTCCTTCAAATTATCACTCAGTAAATGGATGTATCGGTTTCAGTTCTACCAGGTAACGCTGTATTCTAAGAATTAAGGAGGTATATTGCTCTCAAATCTTGCAGAAGAAAATGTTTGCAATTTTGATTATTAGGCTACAAAGAGATTACAAATGACTGCTACAGAAAGTTAAGTTTTTCTACAGTTGCTTCTATTTATCGAATATTTCCACGTACGCTTTGTGCTAGAAAATGTGTTCGTGTAATTGCTAAAGACTGCTAATTGTCCAGCAGTAGCATGTGTAAAGCATCTGTGATAAAATTTATGAATGCACTTTGGAAATGTGTTCAAATGTACAGCTAATCCTACAAATAGCACCATCATCTGAAAGGAATACTTTTCATGTTTAACTAAACTTATTTTTTAGGTTGGGATGTTATACGTGCTTTGCAGATTATATATTAATGTATCACAGGTTTATTTCCCGTTCTACATTACACATTTACCGAATATTTCGAAGGTAATTTAGCTGTCAAAATTTTCATAACGAAAATTTTTTCATAATTGTAGATGACTTTCTTGCACTGTAACATAAGGTATTACGTATTTCTGGCAACTGCTGTGGTGTTATGTCTTTTATAATTTTGTTATAATTAATCTATTGAATGTATTGTTAGCATTTGTTATATTTCCAGACATACGTTGCTATATTACCAATGATTTCTTATTGTTCGTCACTTCTTATTTCTTCTGTGACTGGTTTACCTTTCATAAATCGTCGATGCAATTTGGAAGTGAATTTTTACCTCCTTCACGCTACTCTGCAGTGAGAAACCGGAAGTATATCCACTGAATTCTATCCACTGAATTTGGTGTTAGGAACCACTTATTTTATTATGTTTTAGTAGTCATGATAATGGAATTTAGAGTCTTTTGCTTAATATATATTTTAATTAATTTCATATGCATATATGAGATGTAGAAGAGAGCAATAACATTTGCTCTATTCATCAATGAATTACTGGATAGTATTTAATAAGGGTATTCTGAGAGCGAATATGGTAGCTGGGATTTTGATAGGAACAATTTCAACGTAGCAAAGTTTGGCACGTTTTCGGACTTTTCCAAATTTCGAATTTGCATAATTATTTTTATTTACGGAGGAAGAGATTATGTAAGCTCTGCAAACTATAATTCAGTATGAATCTTAGCACTCTTAAATATTCTGTATGACATATAACTTTGTTTAGGTGCTTCTGAACCTTATACATCTTTCGAGAAGCTCACTGTATGTAGTTTATGTGTATTCTATTATTCTCTTGTTCATACGTTTTCAGAGTTTAGCTTTATTTGGATGTTTTTGTGGCATTTCAAGTTGCTTGGTGATACAATTTGATACATATTTCCCTGTTCACATAGTTGCTGTTCTTCTGGGTATAGCCCAAGCAGTTTTGTTAATAACTTCACTTTCTGCAGTAGCGAAGCTCATTAAACAAGATACAGTAAGTGATTAATTTTTTTATTATTTGATTATTGTTATTGACTTGTCTGATTCATTACTTCAAATTTCCTTAAAGTCTTTTGAAACCGAATTTTAGTTTGAGAGCAGTTATACAACAAGAGATTTTCCTAAATTTTTAAGCAAAATACTTGGTGTACACTAGTGCCAAAGACAGAGTTGTTTAAACAATTGGTAGTCAAATCAGCAATTGAGAGACATAAACATAATTTAATAAATAATCACATATGTGTATGTAAAAGAAACTTGCTTTTGCCAAAGCTTATCACCTACCATGCTTATTTCAGTTTGTTTTGGATTCATTCTTTCCGTTAAATCTATCAATCTTGTTCGGTTCTGCTCACTATTATCGCTCTTTCACTTCTTTTCATCCCTGAATGAAACCAGTCAGTACATGATCTTTCTTTCTTTCATCTTATATGTTGAATTAAAAGTTTTGCTAATGCAGCTTAAAATCGGGAAAAGTCGATAATGTTTCTGTACTGAAATTAGCATGAGATGAGATGAAATTACTGCTTAAACTCGTTTTGCTTTTTTTTTTTTTTTTTTTTTTTTGTTATTGCATTTTGCTTGTTTTGTCACATTTTTGTCATGCCCAATCATTTTTGCTTGTCGCTTTGATGCTATTTTGATTGAAACAAATGCAGTAAACAAGATTTTTTTCTTTTTTAAGATCGGAAAAAGTCGATAGTGCTATTTATGGTATTTTTGCAGGAAAGTGGTGCTTTTGTTTATGGTATTTTCAGTTCCGTGGACAAAATTTCAAACGGATTAGCTTTGCAAGTAATCGAGTTATTCAGTCCATCGTCGTGCATGTTAGTCCGCTAACAGTCGTTTTATTCATTTTCTAGAAAACGCTTATAGTAGTTAAAACCGTTCAAAGTAATGAATACTTTGCAGAGCGAGCGAAAGTGCAGACTGCACAAATTTCTATCGAGTGGTGATTGTCGTTGTGCCTAGCACTACTCTTCTGATTGCTTTCCTCGTGCTCATTTCTCTGATAATAAGCGAGAAATGGAGTAACAGGGTTTTTCTCGGTGGGTATGAATAATTTTAGGTTCATTTTTATGCAGATTACTATTTGTCACTTTCTAAAATTTACTGACGTTTCAGCCGATATATGAGGATTCACTGTCCAATGTAGATTTGAATTACCAGTCGTGCAGGTGAGTTAAGCTTGTAAATCCTCGTTCAAAATGAATAAAGTTAAGCAAAATCATCACGCAATGAATCGCATGTGAAGTGAAATAAATTTCACAATGAATTACATATGAAGTGAAATGAATTTCATCTAAAGTCAATCAATGTACTCACTGAAAATTCAGTTCAAAATTTGCATTTCTCTATAAAGCGAGCATTGCTGTAGCCTGTGAAATATATTTGTAAGTTTGTTTTGTATCACTATAAGTGCAGTGACATCTTTTTGATCCAAAAGTTTTTTTTTTTTTTTTTCGTACATTTAGTAAGTGGGAACTCACTGGTTTAATAATGATCATATTTATTTTTCTAGTGTTACCCTTTTTACAGAATCTCTTTTGTAATCATATTTTTGCCTGATTATTCTTTTTTTTTTTTTTTAATAATAATAATAAAAAAACTGTTCTAAACAATTTAAAATGTAATTTTAATACTAGGCGAATATTACTGCATGATGGTATGCTTCTTATTATGTACTTGTTCTGATTTGCTGTATTCTCCAGTTATGATGCAAAGTAACTACAGGCTAATATTCTCGGAAGTATTTCGTATAATCTGGAGCGGTCAGCAGAACAGATTTTACTATAGATTTTTATAAACAAATTTAAATAAGAAATAGAGAATACTGATTTCAGTAAAATATTTTTATATTTCCAATAAAACAGAAAATAAAAATTAAATTATATGGACGAAAACATAACCGTGTTCTTCCACTTCTTGGATCTACCTACCTAGCTCGAGATGAATGTTAAAATTTTTTGTTTTGCTTTATTATTCGGATTTCCTATTTTAACTTAGGGATTTTTTTTTTAAAGGATTTATGGGCACATTTTTATGATGGCCACACTTTAATGGAGACTTGTTCATGTAGAAGCAAGGTTAAGGAAGAGTAATGTACGAATCTTGGACCAATTTTCAATATTGGGTTTTATAACCGATCTTGTCGTGAAAGGTTGCCTGTTGGTTGATATTCGAATTGTTGCAATACAGTAGGAAGATTAATAAACCTTTATTTTTCGAAAACGTAGTATTAATAAACAGAGCAGTAAAATAAAAGAGAAGAAATTTATATTAAAGAAGAAGATCGGAGGAATTGATATTGGTTAACAAAGTAGTAGTCGACAATGATGATAATGAATGTGAAAGAAAACCAAAATTTGTTTGTTAGAATTGAATTTATATGAGTGAGGATTGGGCGTGTCTAGGATAAAAATCATATGTGTAAAGAATTGAAAGTGTTTACAACGAAAAGATTAGATGAAAGCTAATTACAATTTTACAGTAAAATTATATGTGTAAAGAATTGGAAGTGTTTTACAACGAAGAGAAGAGATGATTTATGATAGTATGAAATTAGTTAGAAGTTTTTCGCGAAATTATAATTCGCGACAGATCTTGTTAGTAAAAAAGAAAAACTAAACAGCCAAAACTTCCTAGATATGTAAATGGCTGTTGATTACAAATTGACAACTAACGTCTTCCTTCGTGCACCTTTCAAATGGAATTTCAAATGTGTCCATATGTGATGGTTAACTTTTTTTTTTTTTTTTTTTTGTAACAGTTTACAAATTATCGCTTGAGGTGTACCCATAAAATTTCCAAACTATAAGTGATTGTACTTCAAGTCATACCTCTGATGCACTAAATTAGAGATATTTTATTGAGATAGAAATGTTTTTCTGAAGCTTCTTCCCCTAATGATATTTATCATCATTAATGGATCGATTTATTATTTAAATTGAGCAAATAAAAGTGAAGTAATATTCTATGAATTACCACGCACTAGCAAATCTGGCTGGGCTCTTTCAAAGATTCCCGAATAATGATAACCAAGTAAATGCTATTTCTTGAGATAACATCAGATAAGTATTCATTAGGAGAAACTCTCGAATTAAAAGTTGCGTTGTGCATCCAAGATGTTATTAGGAATGTGTTATATTAACATCGTCTGAAATTAAGATCATTCCACTTGAAACATTGCACTGAATATTTTAAGTAGTTCACACATTTGAAACACAGGATCCATCATTTATTTATAATTGGCGACTAATATAAAACTTACTAGAATGATAGACGAGTAAAAAAAAAAAAGTTGGATGAGGCACGATAATATATAAAGAAAACAGATTCGTCAAAGGATTTGAAGTTCTATCCGGATTATTTTTTTTTTTTTTTTTTTTTTAGGAAAAACTAATAAGCTTTCTTGAAATGAGATATGGATATCAAAGGGCCATGTAGCCTTAGGAGCATGCGCGATTATTGGAAAAGCTTAGGTGCAAACCTGGAAGCACCAAAAATCGTTTCAAACAAACAAATGTTACAAAAAGAGATAGAGAAGGCACGAAATACCTCGAATTGATGATTATCACAAACATTGTGCTAAAATTTTGTCAGTTGATTTTTTTGCGGTGGTTCGAATCTGTCTTAGAAAGGGTTTCAGTTCGAGCTTCACTTCAGTGATAGCTACGAGCACCTATCAAGTTCCCGGGAAAAAAAAATGATCTCGAGGTGGGGTATTATTATTCGTTCTCATAAAACCGTGTCAAATGGTCCCTTCTTTTTTTTTTTTTTTTTTTTTCTCTCTCTTTGATGGAAAATCCAAATGATAACAATTTTTGTGAAAGTAGCAGTGATTTTTTCATGGCGCATTAGCTAGCTAAAACATCCAGTCCTATTTTGCATCATGATATATAACTGATCAAAATGCACATATAAATATTTACACATCTTGAATGAAATAAAACTCGTTGCAAAAATTGAGACGAGAGGAATGTGCAAAATTGCACTTATAATATTGATCATAATCGTGGTTAAAAATCGTCATTATAATTGCGATAACAATCATAATTCCTAGGCATAGTTAAAGTCGCAGCTGCGATCCTAATCATAACATCAATCCTAATTATAATCATAATCACAATTATAGTTGTAATCCATAATCGTGATCGTATCCGTAGCTATGGACGGTTACTTTCAAGATAGTACTTGCATTCAATGACCATAATCATAATTGCAATTAAAATCAATATCATAACGTAGCTGTAATCGTAGTTATGAAAATTTTTGCTACTGTTACAGCTATAATTATGGTCACGGCTACAACAATGATTATAATTACCATAACAGTGGCAATTATGATTTCATTACTTTCATACACACACACACACATACCTTCTAATAATACATTATACGTTTTTAGCCTTCTTATTTGCTTCTGCAATCAAGTCATTGATTATGTTCACCGTTTTTGCAGAAGTTTTCCCTTGGACAAAACTGTCATGGTCACCTTCCACAATGTATACCTTGTTCTCGTCGGATACCTGTAATAATCATTCTGCTTTGTTTTTTACCACTTCACCATTCTTCAGCTTAAATTTTGATATGATAAACATCTAACACTACAAAGCACTTCAAACTGGAACTATTTAGGAAGCTAGTCATTATTACCTGTGAAATGCCATAGTCAGATCCAACATCTTCCTCTCTCGCTGCTCCTTGTTCTGCTCTTATCAAAGTTATCAGTCCTTTAAATTTTCGTTCTGGTTTATACCTAAATGATTAAATGATTTAGTTGTGAGATTTTTATTTTTAGAGCAATCATCATATTACATCATATTATCAAATCCACGATATTTGTTCAGGTGCAAAGTTCATCAAAAAGCCCTAGCATTTTGTCACGATAGATGAATGTATTGCAATAACTTACTTATCAGCCATGACAAACTTGGAACGCATTGCACAGCATGCGAAATCAATGGTATCAGCTGATTTGAAGAGGCCTGTTGTCATTACCGTATCTACAACCTTCTAAAAAAAAAAAAAAAAAAACTATAAGCTTTAGTGAACTATAAATATTAAAAAAAGTTCAGAACTTAGACGCGTAATTTTAATTATGTTGAGATGCTAAAGTTACAGAAACACTGCAAAAATCTTGCCTGAACTCGTGCTTTAAATCCTGGCTGTTGTAATAATTCAACTCGGAATTTTTTGTAATCAACATTTGCAAAACGCAGCGTCATAGCACACATAATTTCAGACTCAAACAACGGATTGTTGACAAGCGTATCACCGGTCACGCCAAATGCCATTCGATAAACCTTTAATTCATAGAACTTTTTTCATCCATTGTAAAATCATTTAAGCAAAAAAAAAAAAAAAAAATTAGAAATGAGCAGAAAATTAAAAAGAAATTACGAACATTTCGATAAGTTTGCATGTAAAGATGAGATCCATCAAGTAGTATAAGTCTTTCAACGGAATTGGCACCATCACTTTCCTGGAGCATTGTTGCCATTTCGAAACCAATGCAAGCACCGTAAGAATAACCAATTATTCGATATGGTCCTTCCGGTTGTATCTTTTTCATTTCCTACACAAAAATTTGTCACATATAGATAGCAATCATTTGAAATAGTTAATCTACGATATATATACAGTAATAATCAATGCATATCAGTACTAATAATTTTTCTAAACATTACCAATATATATTTCTGCGCAACTTTCTCAATTGAGTCTTGTGGTACTTCTCTAGTTGACTGGAAGCAATATGCTGGAAAGTTGCACTTCGACATAACTTTCTTCAACGGTGTAGCAATTCCTTCTATTGAATGCACAAAGAACGTTGGTGGCCCAGCTTCAACTTTATTACATTTTATTATAAGATCCATCGGTTCAAGGTCGTTCACATCCACCCTCATCCTAAATAAATTACAACATAGTGTTATTTGAAAAATCAGAAGAAAATTACTGCGAATGATGTCTAAAATTGAAGAACTTGGAGACAGTCATTTCGGGAATAAGCAAATTAAAAAAAAAAAAAAAAAAACTTACTTAAATAATTGATTCATTTGC